TCAGCGTTTTGCGCAAAAATTTCATTTACACAGCTTATTTGCAGCTACCATTCCAGGAAACCAGATATCTAAGTTAAGCTTTATGCGGGGCTTATCTAACCTACCACATTGCTGTACGCATTTTAGATAAATTTTAACAAGTTTTCTATGAATTTGGTGTAAATTTATAAACGACACTCCTAACTTTCAATTCAAGTTTAAGCAAGAATTTACTAAGCATCAAACTCATTACCAATTCTCAAAATTTGCTTTATGCTCTTAAATTCCAAACCTATTTTCGCTTTCAAATTTCGATTTGCTCGACTAGAAAACTAAAACGCCAATAAAGTGCCCTCGTTTGCTATCAGCAACGTTCAAGATATGCAGCACGTCGTCCATTGGAGGCTGAAGTTTGAAAAATCCAAAAGGCAGAACTGGCAAATGGGAAGCCAATATAAGTAAATGCAGTAGGTAACACGTGTATGCATGTATTTAAGTTAGTGCTCACGTTGTTGCAGCTAGAATGCGTAAATGCAAAAGTAACCACACTGAAATGAGTAGAACGCATACACTTTCAAACATTTCCCGCACTAATGGCATAAACTAAATATTCTGCAATGCATTCATGTGTGCGTATAGCCAAATATCCTTTGGGTGTATTTGTAGTGCACAGTAGCAAGTAGTGCAAACAACCTTGGGTATTATTAAAATTACATTTTTGCCAACACGAGTGAGCATGGACATAGTTACGAGAGTGCCAAAAATGCAATGCAATCAAACAGAGCATAGTTACAGGCACCAAGCTGAGGAATATTAGGTAGATGTTAGGTGTAAAGAGGAACAGGAAAAAGGCGTAGGTAAAATGGAAAAGTGGAGTTGAATCGAGTGAATTGGGGACACAATGCTAGTGTGCTGCATACAAATAAACGTTGCCTGCTGGAGCGTAGTAAAATTGAAGTGTGTGAGACATTTTGCATTCGGGTAGTTTAAATTTCAATTTTCGCTTGCAACAACAATGCCGAAAGCAATGCTACTTCAGCGCGCAACTACATACTACTACCTGGTAGCATATAGAAGTTTTGCAAATTTCGTGTTTAAATTTCATAGAATATCTTATTTGGGGAGCAATTTATCGCTTAGTTTCACTTGTTTGAGGCCAAGTTCGTCGCAAAGGTAACTACAGTGTTTGGCGCCAAAAACTATGCTGCCAAAAAATGTACCACAAACTTTTGTCACTACAATACCGGCGAAGAATTCCTGGGAAAGCATTAAATGCGCTCGAAAAAAATATAAAAAAAACACAATTTGCAACTCACCTTTGTTGATTGCGTTCACCAGCTCCACTCCCAGTTCCACCATCACCAGCGCCATTCACACCAACCGTGCCGTTTGTCAGACACACCGGTGCATAGTCGGCGATTTGATCCTTTTGCAAGTCCAGCGTATCGCCAGAGGGTGATGTGCGCCATACCATGCCACCGGAGGAGGCATCCAACCAATAGCCATTGCCATTGCGCGAAAGACTGGGCATTTTGAGAACATCATTTGGGTGAGCGCCTAAAAATAGATTAAAAGATAAGGAGTGAAAATGTGGTATTTATTTATGTATTTGAGAAGGTATAAGGTATTTGAAATGCAATTTCGTTGGTTCCAAAAGTGATAATGTCGGGTGTTAAATTTCAAGGAGCGTTAAATTCGTTGCATACTTATAGGCGGTAGTGCTGCATGCTCAAATGCTTACACCAGTTGGTCTTTGCGTGTGCCGCGAACGCAAACTAGTGGAACATTTATGCAGCAGACGTAGCGCCAGCGTCATTGTGAATACATTCTGGCTGCAACGAAAGCAAGGTCGGCATTCCGCAATACTGTGCAGATGGTATAAACGCCTATATATATCTAGAGCCAATTGAAATGGCACCACGATGTAATCTAAGCGTAATTTTTAAAGCATTTATGTAATTGAGTTTGGAAATAAAGTATCACAGTAACCTAACATGGACACCTTACAGCCATGTAAGCAAGGTGTCAATAAGCTTGCAGGTATTTTACTGGCCATGCTAACTAAATAACATAGAGACATGCCGCTCAGCCACTTACAAATTCCGCTCATTGGGTGGTCACTTCAATAGTATTTCATATGTTTTAATTTTAAGCCGTTCACCGCTCAGCCGGTCGCCGCTTTGCCGCTCATTGCATGGCCTCGGCCTAAGATTTCCTCTTTTAATTAGTCTTTCGAAAGGCATGAAAGAACTTTCAAGATATTTACCAGAATTCACAATGGTCTTACGAAAAACTTTTGTCTTTCGCCTTTCAAGCTGAAAGACAGTTCCCAGAATTGCCCTGTAAGTGTGCATTTTCTACTCTTTTTCGACACTCTTTATCCAGTCAGACTGGTATCTAGAACTCAAATACAAAAGTATTTGCGATATGAATATCTTCTTGAGACACCAGGCATTTTATGTAGGGGAATGGAATGGGGTATCTTAGGCACGATGCAGAAAAAAATAGAGGTTGGGGTATTGTTTGTCATTAGCACCAATTGTGCAGGCACACTTTAAAACTACTTTACATAAAAATTATTGCTGAATATTACAACAGCAATTCACGCTCAAATAAATTTTTTCATAAATTTTACGAATATTCAGCTTTGTACCATTAATCATATCACACCTGATGCTGAACAATGCGTTTTTTTATAAAAAAGCAAATGTAAGCAATTCTACTTTTCATTGAATCTTGGTATTTTTTAACTTTATAGCATTTTTTGCAATTTTTTATATGTGCACATATGCATATTATTTAAGTACGTACGCCTGTGTGGCTTAATTTTACTTAAATATTGTTGCTTTTGGAATATTTTGCTACCATTCAAGCCATTTGATTTATTTCCATTATTTTGCTTATTTCATTAAATTCTCTTTTCTACAACTGTATGCATGTTTGTGCGCATTTGTTGTAATTTATTTTTTCATGCAAATGTATGCACTCGTATAAGCAACGAAATCGCTCTCTGCACGCGGTTGCATTGTGGGCGTCTGCGGCATTTTGTCATGTGTTAATAAATGGCACATGCAACCATCATTGTCCTGTGCACAGCCAACCATATGTGCATTCGCACATGAATACATACATATATATATGTATGTATGTACATACCTACCTTCCTGCTACTTTACTGTAGACAAGCGTGAGCAAGCTTTTAATGCCATTAAAACAGACAAGTGACCAGAATGGCCGGAATAGTTAGTTGAGTTGCATGGCATTTAGTTCGAGTGAATGTTGGCAAAAAAAAGCGGAAAATCACAGCGACAGCAAAGAGCAGCGCAAACAAAAAAACAAAAAAGAGCTGGTTAAAAAAATTTGTCGAGCATGAAAAAAGAATAAAGTGGAAAATTGGCAACAACAAAGCTGCTGCTGCGACGCAATGAACCAATTAAACTGTCAGTAATACAACAAAGCAGCATTCAGCCAAGTGTTTTATTGCCAGTGCAATTTTTTTTAATTTATTTCATTACATTTTTTTCCCCTACACAAATATGTACGCTTTTCATTTTTGCAATATCCAATTTATTTTTTTAAGCTGTTTTCCCGCCATGCTTTTCACTTTTCATTTATATTATTTGAATTTTTTCTGCTATTGTCACAGCAGAGTAGAGCAGAGTATTGTTGCAAATTTTTTCTGTTATTATTGTTGTTGCATGCACTCTACACACAGCAGCAGTTAAATATGCAGCAACGCGCCCACAAAAAAAACACACAAGCAAACTCCCCACATCTCATCGCTACTCGCACAGCTCAGCAGCATCACTTCTGTGGCACTCATTTCGCTTACATGGCCAGCTGAGTGCACCTAAAAGTATGCTTGCGTGTGTGATCTGTGTGTTTGAGTGGTGTAGTATGTGCAGCTATAGTACTCACGAAGCGCATTGGGCAAGCTGCTTTGGCTATTGCACACAGCACTTTTTGGGCGGCAGCGCAATGCGCAATTCAAGTACACTTCAGTGAATACAAGCAAATACTTATACACGTACGAACGCGCACAAACACACTCACAAAAAAAAAACATAAGCACTCATACATAGATACATATGTACTATATAGGATAAATACACCTGCTTGGATATTTTTAACTGTTGCTACTTTAGCTTTGCTTTGAACGCTTGCTCTACAGTTTGTTGTTACTTTCGTTGTACTTAGGTGTTGTTGTTGTTGTTGTTGGCACTCAACACGCTCAACAATGCTCGCAAATGCGCTGCGCATTTATTACTTTTGAGTACTTTAGTTTGGCGAACAGCACACTTATGTATGGCTGTAGTTGCTCGAGTGGTAGTGGTGGTGGTGGTGGTGGTGGTGGTGCGGCTTTGCGGCCATACACAGTAAATTGCATGTAATTGTAGTTTTTCAACTTTGAGCTAGTTTTTCCCATGTATGCAGCTGCAGTTAATTGTTTTTATAGCAATTTTTTAAAATAGTTGCAAATTCACTTGCAATTGTTCTACATAAAAATCACTCGTTATTTATTCTTAGATATTTGCGTTTTTTTCATGAAATTAAAGCTCTAAGCGCATTTTTGTGGCTTTAATACGCACATGCGCCTAAAAGTATGCACAATTTTTTCCGTATTTCAGAAAAATGCTTAAATTTGAGAATACCGCTTGATATGGGTCTTTAAAACACATTAATGCAATTGATGAATGATATGAAATTCGAATGGTTCTTCTCTAAAAGAGGGTGCAGCAACCTGGCAAATGATTTCTTTCATAACTGGAGACACAGGAAGCACTGGAGAAAATAGGTAGTTAATATTTGTATCACAATTTGGGTGTTAGAAGAAAGAGATTTAAAAAATGTTTTAGTTTGAAAATATTTTGAAAAGGGCTGCCATCTTTTTGAAATGTCAAACTATGCACAAGTTATATGAAATATTGTCAAACGAAAGAGTGTTAAAAAAGCATTATTGTGAAAACTTATAATATTTTTGAGGTTTGAAAAGGGTTGCCACCTATTTAAAAAGTTTAAGTCAAATTATTTAATAAGTTAAATGAGTTACTAAAGGATTGCTTTCAATCAAAATCGGCTGAGAGGGCTTTATTTCCAAACTCCCGATGTTGCCACATGTTTATAAAATCACATTCACCTTGAATTGCGGCAATGAGAAATTTTAAATGTTTATGTATCACAATATGGGCTCAGGCGAAAGAGGTTTAAGATAGGTCTAGTTGGAAAATATTTGGAATAGAGTTGCCACCTGTTTAAAAAGTCGAATTTAAGTAAATTATGTATAAGTTATATGAAATATAAAATATTCTGGACATTTAGATTGTTTTCGAGGCACTGGTTTATAAAAAAATTGAAATAATTATTAAAAGATTGGTACCAATTAAAATGGGTTTGGAAGGGCTTTATTTCTGAACTACATTTAGAAGGGTTGCCCCATATTTTAAAAATCCTATTCAACTAAATTTATCAATTAATTGAAATTTGTATACTAATGTCAGACTAAAGATATTTAAAAAATGTTAAGTTTAAAAATATTGCTGAACCAGGTTGCCATCCTTTATGAAAATTCGAACTTAGTTAGCTTATATACAAAATATGCATATGAAATATTTAAATATAAGTGCCGAACGAAGTAGTTTTAGGAAATCTTTAGCTTACAAAAATACTTTTGATTAGGGTTGCTACCTATTCGAAAAGGCATATCTATCTACCTACCTATGAATATATGGGCATTTTTTGTGAGATGTTTCACGAGCTTAGGCCTGCAGATGTTAAATGACGAAGTTAAAAATTTCTTAACGGTACAGGATGATTTTAAATATGAGAAACCGAACCATGCGAGACGTCTCTCAACTCAGAAACGGCTAGATGGATTTATATTAAATCGGGCACACCGATCGCTTATAAATATGACTAAAGTTTGACATTTTTTTTAGGTTTTTCAGAGGGTTGCCACCCGTTTAGTACCAACGCCAGGCGGATTCGCTAGTAATTTAGTAATACGGTAATAGTGAAAGAAGGAGTCTACGTTAGTCGTGAATCCATACAAAACTTTTTTTTAGTGTCTAGCTCATCTCGACTTTTTGTATAGCATTTGTATAGGAGAAGTATTTAATAAAAACCATGACTATGTATTACCCTCATCTGGGGCTTGTGAGTCGTATTTAGAGTTTCTTCCCACTTTTTAATTGCAAAAATATATATCTAACATTAAAAAATAAAAAATAAGAATGTATTTGCGCCTTGCTTGGCGAGGAAAAACATGTGCACAGCCAAATGACAATCTTCAAAGAAACCCCTCTACCTTGCTTTCAATCCACACCAGGTCAAACATCGTTATCGACGTTATTGACTGCATGCATATAACACTGTGTCGGTAACGTCGGCAACGATGTTTAACTGGGGATTAGTGTTAACCAGAGTTGGTGAAAACAGCCCTAAAACTACCTTTACCTCTAAGGGCCGCTTGCTCAATGTCCGGTTAACACAAATCTGAGGTTGAAGCTCCGGATTAAATACAGTGACTGCTTTATCGATTACATGTTATATGAATGATGTCGAAAATGTCGATAACGATATTTAACTGGTAGGTAGTGATAACCAGACATTGAGCAATCGGCCCTAAAGCTAGTGGGTGCTGCTAGTTATGCAAAACCAATGAAGCGCCTCCTCCACGGTAAGCACGTCCAGTCGGTCACATCGTATGAGCGTACGCGACTGCAAATTACGGTTATTTGTGTATGCAGCAGCGTCACCGTAAAGGAAGTGGCACAAAAGAAGCAGCAGCAGTAGCGGTAACAGCGCGAAAAAAAACAAATAAAGAAAGCTGAATGAGAAGCAAGCAAGCGAATAAGTACCTTTATATACATACAACTGTATGTATGTATGTACATGTGTGCGTACCTTAACATAAGAATATGCACATAGCAAAGGTGGAGACATATTTTGTATATACATCTGTAAGTAAATTTACATACACATTAGGGTGGTCAAAATTTTTTTCCAGCCAACCTCCAGAGCTAAAGAAAACGGTTAGAATTTAATGAGATGAGAAGGAATTCTAGCGCCAAAAATCTGCTTGACACAATCATATTTAATATAGGATCGCTGTACAAGTATTTGATATTTATTTTTATGTTACAGTAATTTGGTTGGGTGTGGGTGTGCACTTGTTTCATAAAAAAAAAAAAAAAAACTAGCCTATATCTCTAAAACTCGGATTCAGTAGATAATTCTACATAAGAAATGATGGTGAAACGGCAAAGATATAATATTTTGTATACTAGTGTAATTATTCTAACTTCCAAGATCAGTAAGACGAAAGCTTAAAAATGAAATCGGCGTGGCCGTATGTGGTGACAATTTTATCAGAGATCATAACATTGGTATCGCTTACCTCAAAAATATGAAATTCAAAGTTTGCCGTTGATTGCAATATTTTTACGGACTTTTATAACAGTAATTAAAAGAAAAAAATTTACATTTTTAGCATGCTGTAAATTTAAGGCAACATATTTTCCATAAAAGCACTACCAATGTTGTTAGCTTAAAAAATTAGTACCAGGTTGACCGAGCTTTGCCCGGAGTATATATACTTTTTAAAGTTTTCAAGATTTGGATAGCTTTTAAAAAATATTTTGGAAATAAACAAACAAAAATAGGATTTCCATATCTATTAAATAAATTTCTTACTCTAAAATTTATGTGGCAATCCTATTCCGAAATACGCTGGAAGGAATGGTACATATCTTAAGCGTATATGTACTGTGTATACATAAAATAAATGCTGATTGAAATTAACAAAATAAAAATTTGTATTACATAGAAACGTGGCAACCCTGCTGGAAAATATTGTCTGCCCAAAGCTCTCAACAATACCTTTCATTGGATATCCATATTGCGATGCTTTAGATAAATTGTGTAGAATCGAACACAAGTGGCAACCTTACACTATTACCCTAAGAGATAACATTTTGTATATAGGAAGGCATTGTTTAAGAACCTTCTGGGTACTAACATGAATAGTAATATTTTACCTTTTTTTCCAAAAAAATTTAATAAACATGCGATTCAAAATAGGTGGCAACCCTATTAAACATTTTTTTGAATTAGGGATCTTTAAAATATCTTCCATTTGATACCCATATTATGATGATTTAATTACTTTGTAACTAATTTCTAACAGGTGGCAACCTTATACGAGTCTTCTCGAAGATAATGCCTATTCAAATAACCTTAAAATCCAAAACGTTATTGGCGTACAAAATTTCATCAAAATCGTTAGAGCCGTTTCCGAGAACCCTATGGATATATATATATATATATATATAAGAATTGCTCGTTTAATGTAATAAGATGCTTATGATTTTCGCTCAGCAGCGACAGTAAAATTTACACACACAAAAAAAAATTATATATTCGCAAAGTTTATTTTTCTCTGTAATTTTTGTTTTGAACCACCCTAATAAGCATATATACCTGACCTGAACGTGTGCTGCCATTGCTGCTGTACAAATTCTTATTCACATTTGTATTCTCACATGCATGCATGTATGTGCATATGTATTCACTATGCATCTGGTCACATATAACTCTTTCATCACAAACAAATTTATATTTGCATCTGCTTACGTATTCTGTATTACGTTCTTACATACGTTTTTGCATCGCTGCACGCACGTAACACGCGTGTTAAACGCTTCCGTTGCCGCCATTCAGGCGTCGCTGTCACTGCTGCAGCAGCTGACTCCATCCGGCGCAGTCATCAGCTTGCTACTGTCCTTGCAACATATTTTTTTTCTTTTCACATTGTAATTTATTAACAAGGCAAGTGCGTGCAGCAACTTTCTTTCGCATTATTTTTCCAAGTTCTTTTTTTTCTCGCCCACTGACAGATGTCAATTTGCTTGAATTTTTTTTTTCAACTTTTTTTGTCATGAAAACTATGATGTAGTGTGCTATAAATTTTCAACTCACCTCTGATTGTACTCAACGCGGACTGTTTCATCATCATATGCTTGCGTTTGATGAGCACCATAGCGCCGAGTGAGAGCATCATCATGGCCAAGAATGCGCCGAGTAGTATGATGAACCAAGGCTGTGTGAGCACATCATCGACATGATCCTGATTGATGGGATAGCTGTTGAAGGGGAGTAAAGGTTAGAAAATAGTTAATTTAAATTAGTTATGGTGTTGCAGAGTTTTCCCAAATGTTGATTGCGAGAAGATTCCTTGTTA